ACTGTTTATTATGCTACCATCTTAATAGTTTTTTAACTGTTTTATGATGTTTTTGAGCACTGAATTTTGCTATTGTGAACCGCTCTGAGTCGCCTGAGGGCTGAGGAGAGCGGTATACAAATATTGGACAGCAATGGCTCCCAAAGTGACCCATTTATGGTGGAATCAAGTGTCAAACAGGGATGTGTTATTGCCCCAACTTTATTCTCCATCTTCATCGCTATGTTACTTCATCTTGTTGATGGGAAGCTTCCCACAAGAGTAGAAATCATCTATTGGACAGATGGCAAGCTGTTTAACCTCAGCAGATGGAAAGCCAAAACCAAGGTTACAACAACATCTGTTATAGAACTCCAGTATGCTGATGACAACGTCATCCGTGCGCATTCAGAAGAAGATCTACAAGCCACCTAAACACCTACACATACAAGAAGCTTGGCCTGTCATTGAACATCGAGAAAACCAAAATGCTGTTCCAACCGTCACCAGGCAATCTCTCTCCAATGCCAGAGATACAGTTCAATGGTGTAACATTAGAAAATGTTGACCATTTCCACTACTTTGGTAGCCACCTATTAAAGTCAACATCAACACCGAAATACAACACCGCCTGAGCTCTGCAAGCGCAGCATTTTTCTGAATGAAGCAGAGAGTTTTTGAGGATCGGGACGTCCGTAGCGATACCAAGGTGCTTGTTTATAAAGCTATTGTCCTCCCAACCCTACCATACACCTGCAAAACGTGGACTGTCTACAGACATCAACATTGACACTGAAATACAACACTCCCTGAGCTCTGCAAGTGCAGCATTTTTCCGAATGAAGCAGAGTGTTTGAGGACTGGGACATCAGTAGGGATACCATGGTGCTTGTTTATAAAGCTATTGTCCTCCCAACCCTGCTCTATGCATGCGAAATGTAGACTGTCTACAGACGTCAACATTGACACTGAAATACAACACCGCCTGAGCTCTGCAAGTGCAGCATTTTTCCGAATGAAGCAGAGTGTTTGAGGACCGGGACATCCGTAGGGATACCAAGGAGCTTGTTTATAAAGCCATTGTCCTCACAACCCTGCTGTGGCAGCCACCTCTCCACAAAAGTCAACATTGACACTAAAATACAACACCGCCTGAGATCTGCGAGTGCAGCAATTTTCTGAATGAAGCAGAGAGTATTTGAGGACTGGGACATCCGTAGGGAGACCAAGATGCTTGTTTATAAAGCTATTGTCCTCCCAACCCTGCTATATGCCTGCAAAACGTGGACTGTCTACAAACGTCACATGCAACTCCTGGAACGATTCCATCAGCGCTGTCTCTGGAATATCCTGCAAATCTCTTGGGAAGACAAGCGGGCTAATGTCAGCGTGCTGGAAGAAGCAAAGACCGCCAGCACTGAAGTGATGATCCTCCGCCATCAACTCCGCTGGACCCGCCACGTTGTCTGGATGCCCAACCACCATCTCCCAAAGCAGTTGCTCTACTCTGAACTCAAGAACGGAAAATGGAAAGTTGGTGGGCAGGAAAAGAAATTGAAAATGGCCTGCATCAATAGGAGCATAGTGTCTAGATATAGGGAAGTAATGCTACCCTCTATTCCACTTTGGTTAGACCACACCTGGAATATTGTGTCCAATTCTGGGCACCACAATTCAAGAGAGATATTGACAAGCTGGAATGTGTCCAGAGGAGAGCGACTAAAATGATAAAAGGTCTGGAGAACAAGCCCTATGAGGAGCGGCTTAAGAGCTGGGCATGTTTAGCCTGAAGAAGAGAAGGCTGAGAGGAGATATGATAGCCATGTATAAATATGTGAGAGGAAGCCACAGGGAGGAGGGAGCAAGCTTGTTTTCTGCTTCCCTGGAGACTAGGACGAATGGAACAATGGCTTCAAACTACAAGAGAGGAGATTCCATCTGAACATGAGGAAGAACTTCCTGACTGTGAGAGCCGTTCAGCAGTGGAACTCTCTGCCCCGGAGTGTGGTGCAGGCTCCTTCTTTGGAAGCTTTTAAACAGAGGCTGGATGGCCATCTGTCAGGGGTGCTTTGAATGCAATATTCCTGCTTCTTGGCAGGGGGTTGGACTGGATGGCCCATGAGGTCTCTTCCAACTCTTTGATTCTAAAGATGGTCTCAAAGCCAACCTTAAAAACTGGCATAGACACTGAGAACTGGGAAGCCCTTGAGCGCTCCATCTGGAGTCAGCTGTGACCAGCAGTGCTGCAGAATTTGAAGAGGCACGAATGGAAGGCGAAAGAGAGAAATGTGCCAATAGGGAGGAGCATCAAGCCAACACCAAACAGGACAGCCCTCACTACGGGAGAAGATGCAGATCAAGAATAGTCACCTATGGACCCACCAGAATACTGATCCTAGAAGACTATCCTACTTGGCCAACGAGTGATCGCCAAATATAGTAAATAAAGAAATATAATAAATCATGATATCTGGTTTTTTATATTGATCTTGCTATTTACTATATTTCTCAGCCCGCGGGACAGAGAGTTTCATCTATGCTGATGATCGTGCCATTACTGCTCAAGCAGGGAGCTTTGAGATGGTAGAACAGAAGCTTTCCGGAGCTCTAGGTGCCCTTAGTGCCTATTACAGGGAAAACCAGCTGATCCCCAACCCATCTAAAACACAGACATGTGCCTTTCATCTCAAGAACAGAGAAGCATCCTGAGCTCTGAAGATCACCTGGGAAGCGCACCCAAATACCTGGGAGTCACTCTGGACCGTGCTCTTACCTACAAGAAGCACTGCCTGAACATCAAGCAAAAAGTGGGTGCTAGAAACAACATCATACGAAAGCTGACTGGCACAACCGGGGGATCACAACCAGACATGGTGAAGACATCTGCCCTTGCGCTATGCTACTCTGCTGCTGAATACGCATGCCCAGTGTGGAACACATCTCACCGCGCTAAAACAGTGGATGGGGCTCTTAATGAGACAGGGTGTCTGTGCCCTACACAACTGGAGAAATTACACTGCTTAGTCGGTATTGCACCACCTGACATCCGCTGGGAAGTAGCAGCCAATAGTGAAAGGACCAAGGCAGTGGCATCTCCAGCTCATCCCTTGTTTGGGTATCAGCCAGCACGCCAACGACTTAAATCAAGACATAGTTTTCTTAGATCTACAGAGACACTCGCTGGAACACCTCAGCAAGCGAGAGTCCAAAAGTGGCAGGCTCAAACCCAGCACCTCAATCCGTGGGTGATACCTAATGAGAGACTCCCCCCTGGGCACACAGAGGATGGGGTGACTTGGAAGGTGCTGAACAGACTGCGCTCTGGCCCCACGAGATGCAGAGCCAACCTCCAGAAATGGGGCCACAAAGTGGAGTCCACGACATGCGAGTGTGGAGAAGAGCAAACCACTGATCACCTGCTGCAATGCAACCTGAGCCCTGCCACATGCACAACTGAGGACCTTCTTGCGGCAACACCAGAAGCACTCCAAGGGGCCAGAGACTGCTCAAAGGACATTTAACCAACTACCAAGTTTGCAAAATCTGTTTTTTTTTCCTTTTTCTTTTTAATCTGTGTGTTTGTTTTGTTCTGTTAGAATTGTAATACAATGGTATGGTTTCTGATGACATGATAAATAAATCACGGGGTGCCTGCGCCCTACATCACTTGAGAAATTACACTGCTTAGCCGGTATTGCACCACCTGACATCCGCTGGGAAGTAGCAGCCAATAGTGAAAGGACCAAGGCAGAGACATCTCCAGCTCATCCCCTGTTAGGGTATCAGCCAGCACGTCAATGACTTAAATCAAGGAATAGTTTTCTTAGATCTACAGAGACACTCGCTGGAACACCTCAGCAAGCGAGAGTCCAAAAGTGGCAGGCTCAAACCCTGAACGTCAATCAAGAGACTCCCCCCCAGAAATGGGGCCACAAAGTGGAGTCCCCGACATGTGAGTGTGGAGAGGAGCAAACCACCGGAAGCACTCCAAGGGGCCAGAGACTGGTCAAAGGACATTTAATCAACTACCAAGTTCACAAAATTTGTGTTTTGTGTGTCTATTTGTTTTGTTAGAAATGTAACACAATGGTCTGGTTGGTGATGACACGATAAATAAATAAAATAAAATAGCCTGCGGGTTTTTTTTATTTGTCGTGTCAGAACAACCAGTCTAACAGAACAAAGCAAACAAACAGAAAAATACACAACTTGTGAGTTTGGTAGCTGGTTAAATGTCCTTTGACCAGTATCTGGCCACTTGGAGTGCTTCCGGTGTTGCTGCAAGAAGGTCCTCCATTGTGCATGTGGCAGGGCTCAGGTTGCATTGCAGCAGGTGGTCAGTGGTTTGTTCTTCTCCACACTCGCATGTCGAGGATTCTACTTTGTAGCCCCATTTCTGAAGGTTGGCTCTGCATCTTGTGGTGCCAGAGCGCAGTCTGTTCAATGCCTTCCAAGTCGCCCAGTCTTCTGTGTGCCCAGGAGGGAGTCTCTCATTTGGTATCAGCCATTGGTTGAGGTGCTGGGTTTGAGCCTGCCACTTTTGGACTCTCGCTTGCTGAGGTGTTCCAGCGAGTGTCTCTGTAGATCTTAGAAAACTATGTCTAGATTTAAGTCGTTGGCGTGCGGGTGTATATAGTAAGTAAGTAAATAAATAAAATGTGGATTTTATTGATGCCTCCCAAATAATCCCAGGGATAGGCCTAAAAACCAAGTTATTTTGAATTGTTGGGCTGTGTTATTGTTAGTATTCAGGTTCTCAAACAGGCATGGGCCAACTTCGGCCTTTCCTCCAGGTGTTTTGGACTGCAACTCCCACAATTCCTAACAGCCTGGCGGCTGTTAGGAATTGTGGGAGTTGCAGTCCAAAACACCTGGAGGAAAGGCCGAAGAGAGGCCTAGCTCAATGGACGCCAAAGAGGGAGGCTTGTCGGCGGGGAGTAGGCCTCACCCCGAAGGCCGCAAAAGCCCCGGCCTGGCCCGCGCTCTCTGTCCCGCCCTCCGTCCCTTCTTGGGCCTCTCACCGCTTCCTCCGGGGCTCGAGGCCCTCCTGCGCCGCCTCGCGAAGGGAAGAGGGCCGAGGGCAGGCTCCCTCCGGCTCCCTCCGCGACCCTCCAAGATGGCGGCCCGAGGCAGGCCCAGGTCCCGACCGGCTTCCCCTTTCAGACACTTCCGCTTCCGTCCGAAGCCTAGCCGAGGCGGGTTGCATCACTTCCGGTTTGGGAACCTCAGCCCGCCTTGCTGTTTGGGGAGCGGTTTCTCAAGCGAGCTGAGGCGCATGCGCAGAAGCAGTGCCCCGCCCTCTCTGGTCTGAGCATAGCCGTTTCGGGAGGTGAGGCGCATGCGCGGAAGCAGAGCACCCCCCCCCGCCCCGCCCTCTCTGGTCCTCCCGTTGCCGTGGCAACCGGTCGCCCTGGCGACACGGCTGCGGCCTAGCTCAGGATGGATTTTGAAGCCTCCCAAAGTCCCTTCCAGTCTTCAACTCTCACAATTCCTCACAGCCTCAGGCCCCTTCCTTTTCCCCCGAATATGGAAGGACTACAATTCCCATTATTCTCTATCCATTTCCACCCAACCCCAAAAATGTAGTCCAGCCAGATTTGGGAGTGATGGGGTTTGCAGTCCAGTCAGGTCTGGTGCTGATGGGACTTGCAGTCAAGCTAGATCTAGGGTGATGGGTTTTTGCAGTTCAGTCAGATCTGGGATGATGGGTTTTTGCAGTTCAGTCAGATATGGGATTTTCAGTCCATCTAAATCTGAGGATGATGGATTTGCAGTCCATTCACATCTGTGTATGATGGGACTTGCAGTCCAACCAGATCTGGGAATGATGGGATTTGAAGTCCAGCCAGATCTAGGGCTGATAGGGTTTGCAGTCAAACCAGATCTGGGGACAATGGGATTTGCAGTCCATTCACATCTGCGTATGATGGGATTTGCCATCCAACCTGATCTGGGGATGATGGGATTTGCAGTACAGCCAGTTCTAGGGCTGATAGGGTTTTCAATCCATCCAAATCTGGGGATGATGGGATTTGCAGTCCAGTCACATCTGAGGATGATGGATTTGCAGTCCATTCACATCTGCGTATGATGGGATTTGCAGTCCAACCATATCTGGGGATGATGGGATTTGCAGTACAGCCAAATCTGGAGGTGATGGGATTTGAAGTCTGATCAGATCTGGGGATGATGGGATTTGCAGTCTGGCCAGATCTGGGGATGATGGGATTTGCAGTCCAGTCAGATATGGAGCTGATGGATTTTGCAGTTCAGTCACATCTGCATGTGATGGGATTTGAAGTCCAACCAGATCTGGGGCTGATGGGGCTTGCAGTCAAGTTAGATCTGGGGTGATGGGGTTTGCATTCCAGCCAGATCTGGGATGATGGGTTTTGCAGTTCACTCAAATATGGGAATCATGGGATTTGCAGTCCAGCCAGATCTAGAGCTGATAGGGTTTGCAGTCCATCCGGATTTGGGGGTGTTGGGTTCTGCAGTCCAGTGAGATCTAGGGATTATGCGATTTGCAGTCCAGTCTAATCTGGAAATGATGGAATTTGCAGTCCAGTCAGATATGGGGCTGATGAGCTTTTCAGTCCAGCCAGATCTGGGAGTGATGGGGTTTTCAGTCTGGCCAGATAGGGGGCTGATGGAATTTGCAATCCAGTCACATCTGGGGATGATGGATTTGCAACCGAGTCAGATCTGAGGATGATGGAATTTGCAGTCCTGTCAGATCTGGGATTGATGGATTTGCAGTCCTGTCCGATCTGGAGATGATAGGATTTGCATTCCAACCATATCTGGGGGTGATGGGGTTTGCAGTCCAGTCAGATCTGTGGATGATGGGGTTTGCAGTCGAGTTGGGATGATGGGATTTGCAGTGGATTTGGAGATGATAGGATTTGCATTCCAACCACATCTGAGACTGATGGAATTTGGAGTCCAGTCAGACCTGGGGATGATGGATTGGCAGTGCAGTCAGATCTGGGGATGATGGATTGGCAGTGCAGTCAGATCTGGGGATGGTGGGATTTGCAGTTCGGACAGATTTGGGGGTGATGGGAGTTGCAGTCTTCCAGAACTGGGCGTGATGATAGTTACCATCCAGTAAGATCTGGGGCTGATGGGATTTGCAGTCCAGCTAGATCTGGGGATGGTGGGAGTTGTAGTCCAGCCAGATCTGGGGATGATGAGTATGCGTTTTCTGATGGGACCATTCATAGAAGGAACTATGAGCAATAATAAACAAACTCCTGGTCTTCCATCCGACTCTGATGCTCCGCACTTAATTTTCCGGATGCTGTTTGTCCGGTTCCAGTCACCCGTCCGGTATTTGGATTCCGGCATTAGCGAACACAGTCTGTTATTAAGCAAGCTTGCCTTGCCATAAAGGATTTCGACACCTCTTCCGACTTGTTTTGTCCTGCATGGGAAATGCGTTGCCACACGGCACGGAATCGGCACCCCTCTTCCTCCGGCAGGAAGGGCCGAGTGCCATGCTCCGGCTCCAGGGATGGATTTATTTCACCAAACCAGAAGAAAAAAGGCTTGGGTTTTGCAACATCGCCGGTCGGGGAGTCATCTCGCATGTGGGAACCTGCGCCGTGCCTCCAGAAGGAGCCGAAGCTGAAGGTAAGGAAAGCACTTCTTTATTTGCAAAGCCGGGAAGACACAGATATGGTTTAAGGTGTCATCTCCATGAATCTGCTCCAGGTTTTAGTCTGAACTTTCAAAGACCTGTAATCAATCCCTTAAATATGTTTAGAATTGGCTTAAAATCTGGATTAAACCCAGAGTGGATTCATTACCCCATTGGTGTGATAATAATCTAATGCTTGATAATATTTCTTCCATTCTAACTAATTTCGGTACTACCAACCGAGAAAAAAAAGCTTTATTTATAGATTTCTTCAATTCTAAGATGCATTTTCCTCTCATATAAAGATATCTAAAAATGGGGGTATGTCTTAAAACATTGGTTCCCAACCCCTTTTTTTTTTAACCAGGGACAACTCTCCAACATTAGTACCAAAAGGGTTACGAATCAGTTTTTGGTCTCATTTAGATTCGGTTTGGTTGTTTGGGGTGCTAATTCAAAAAATTTAATTGCATAGACCACATCAGCTGATTAAGAAACTTCATTGGATATACCACATCAGTTGATTCAGAAAATTGCATTGTATAGACCACATCAGCCGATTCAGAAAACTGCATTGGATAGACTACATCAGCTGATTCAGAAACAGCATTGGATAGACCACATCAACTGATTCATAAACAGCATTGGATAGACCACATCAGCTGATTCAGAAAACTGCATTGGATAGACCACATCAGCTGATTCAGAAAATTTCATTGTATAGATCACATTAGCTGATTCAGAAAACTGCATTGGATAGACCACATCAGCTGATTCAGAAAACTGCATTGGATAGACCACATCAGCTGATTCAGAAACAGCATTGGATAGACTACATCAGCCGATTCAGAAAACTGCATTGGATAGACCACATCAGCTGATTCAGAAACAGCATTGGATAGACCACATCAGCTGATTCAGAAAATTGCATTGGATAGACCATATCAGCTTTCATTTCTGATACAAAACATATGCCATCCAGTAGTCACCATCCACAGAAAACCATATTTTATACAATGCTGGCTTGCTTGCTTGCTTGCTTGCTTCCTTCCTTCCTTCCTTCCTTCCTTCCTTCCTTCCTTCCTTCCTTCCTTCTCTCCCTCTCTTTCCCTTTTGCTCTCCTCCAACGGTGCCAGGAAAGTCACACGAGGGCAAGAGCATGAGGGCAACAGTGCTGTCCTCCTTCCTTTCTTCTCTCTCTCTCCTTCCCTCTTTCGCTCTCCGGGAAGTCACAAAAGGGTGAGGGCAACAGCGCTGGCCTTCCTCCTTTCTTCCTTCTCTCCCTATTCTTCTCTCTTTCACTCTCCTCCAACGGCGCTGCGAAAGTCGCAAAAGAGCAAGGGCAACAGCATTGGCCTCCTTCCTTCCTTCCTTCCTTCCTTCCTTCCTTCCTTCCTTCCTTCCTTCCTTCTCTCCTTCTCCTTCCCTCTCTTGCTCTCCTCCAATGGTGCCAGAGAAGTGACGAGAGGGTGGGGCAACGGTGCTTCCTTCCTTCCTTCCTTCCTTCCTTCCTTCCTTCCTTCCTTCCTTCCTTCTCTCCCTCTCCTCTCATTCGCTCTCCTCCAAAAGCGCCAGGGAAGTTGCTAGAGAGTGAGGGCAATGGCGCTGGCCTCCTTCCTTCCTTCTCTTCCTCTCCCTTTCTCTTTTGCTTTCCTCCAACAGAGCCGGGAAAGTCTCGAGAGGGCTTGGGCAATGGTGTTGTCCTCCTCCCTCCCTCCCTCCCTCCCTTCCTTCTCTCCCTCTCCTTCTCTCTTTCGCTCTCCTCCAACAGCGCTGGGAAAGTCTCGAGAGGGCTTGGGCAACAGTGCTGGCCTCCTTCCTTCCTTCTCTTCCTCTCCCTTTCTCTTTTGCTTTCCTCCAACAGAGCCGGGGAAACTCTCGAGAGGGTTTGGGCAACAGTGTTGGCCTCCTCCCTCCCTTCCTTCCTTCTTTCCTTCTCTCCCTCTCCTTCTCTCTTTTTCTCTCCTCCAACAGCGCCAGGAAAGTCTCAAGAGGGCTTGGGCAACGGTGCTGGCCTCCTTCCTTCTCTTCTTCTCTCTTTTTCTCTCCTTCAACAGCACCAGGAAAGTCTCGAGATGGCTTGGGCAATGGTGTTGGCCTCCTCCCTCCCTCCCTCCCTCCCTTCCTTCTTTCCCTCTCCTTCTCTCTTCACTCTCCTCCAACAGTGCCGGGATAGTCTCAAGAGGGTGAGGGCAGCAGTACTGGCCTCCTTCCTTTCTTCTCTCCCTCTCCTCTCTTTTGCTCTCCTCCAACAGTGCTGAGAAAGTCACGAAAGGGCAAGAGGACGAGGGCAACGGCGCTGGCCTCTTTCGTTCCTTCTCTTTTTGTAAGGCACCAGTTGCAAGGATGTCACCTTTGGATCTGTATTGCAGATGAATAGATGTGTATTAGTGCAGGAAGACTGTCCCTTGCATGAGATCAAGGCCAGGAATAGGATTAAGAAATTGGGATTTGTACTTGACAGGAGGTTTCTGGGAGTGTAAGCAGGTTCAAGGAGGAAGGAAGGGATACACAGATCCATGGAAGCATATAGCCTCGGTCAACAGTTTCATCATCACGCGCTGTGATAGTGCCACCCATTTTGCCAAGGCAGATCTGCGGAGTCATGTTGGACCTCTCCTTTGGATTGATAACCTCTTTGCCCCAGTTGTTAGCAGTCCTGAGTCAGAAAAAAAAGAACATGCTGTCTCAGCACAAAAGGCAACTGGGTTCAGTCTTGTGTTTGTCAAGGGCAGGATGAAAGCATTCCTCGTGCAAACAATAAGAACTGGAATAAGAAATGAAATTTTCCTTCACTCTCCAAAATTAGAACCAATGCAATGGCCTAGGATTCCAGGAGACCCGGGTTTCCACAACAGAGACCAACACCAGTACCTATAAAATGTAGAATATAATAATAATTGATTACTCACAACCGTTGAAGATGCCTGCCATAATTGTGAGCGAAACATCAGGAGACAATGCTTCTGGGACATAGCCATACGGCCCGGAAAACTCACAGAAACCCAACTGATTGCTTCTTGACACAAGCCTGCAAAAGTCAGATCTATCTTCTGATAGTCAGTTCATATCGGCAACAGCTAGCACAGCGTTTCTCAACTTGGGGGTCTGGACCCCTAAGGGGGTCGCGAGGGGGTGTCAGAGGGGTCGCCAAAGACCATCAGATAGCACAGCATTTTCTGTTGGTCATGGGGGTTCTGTGTGGGAAGTTTGGCCCAATTCTATCATTGGTGGGGTTCAGAATGCTCTTTGATTGGAGGTGAACTATAAATCCCAGCAACTACAATTCCTAAATGTCAAAGTCTCTTCCCCAAACTGCACCAGTGTTCACATTTGGGCATATTGAGTATTTGTCCCAAATTTGGTCCAGATCCATCACTGTTTGAGTCCACAGTGCTCCCTGGATGTAGGTGAACTTCAACTCCCAAACTCAAGGTCAATGCCCACCAAACCCTTCCAGGATTTTCTGTTGGTTATGGGAGTTCTGTGTGCCAAGTTTGGTTCAATTCCATCATTGGTGGGATTCAGAATGCTCTTTGATTGGAGTTGAACTACAAATTCCAGCAACTACAATTCCTAAATGTCAAGGTCTCTTTTCCCCAAACTCCACCAGTGTTTGGGCATTTTGAGTATTCGTGCCAAGTTTGGTCCAGATCCTTCATGGTTTGAGTCCACAGTGCTCTCTGGATGTAGGTGAACTACAACTCCCAAACTCAAGGTCAATGCCCACCAAATCCTTCCAGTATTTTCTGCTGCTCATGGGAGTTCTGTGTGCCAAGTCTGGTTCCATTGTTGGTGGATACCAAAATGCTCTTTGATTGAAGGTGAACTATAAATCCCAGGAACTACAACTCCCAAATGACAAAATCAATCCCAAGCCCAACCCTACCAGTATTCAAATTTGGGTATCTTGAGTATTTGAGCCAAATTTGTTCCAGTGAATGAAAATCCATCCTGCATCTCAGATATTTACATGAGGATTCACAACAGTAGCAAAATTACATATATGAAGTAGCACCAAAAATAATGTTATGGTTGGAGGTCACCACAACATGAGGAACTGTGTTAAGGGGTCGCAGCATTAGGAAGGTTGAGAAGCACTGAACTAGCAGATTATAGACCTGGCTCTTTGATGAAATAACTAGTTGAGATTTTTGGACTAAGATGTCCAGATCCCACTGTTGTCCCATCCCCAACCAGAATGGCCCATCACACTTCCGGAATTTATTTTCCCAAAAAGGGACCTTTCCCATGCTCCACCAGGGATTTGGCAATGGATCCGGCCCTACCTCATGCCAATCCCTGACCTCGCAAGTTCACAGCTGTCAAGAAACTCCCAACATGGGGAAACAATGGCACTGAATTGCTGCACCTCAGAAAGAACCCGGGGCGCTGCCCAGAGCTTTTGTTGCTGTCAAGGGAGGAGAGATGTTGTTTTTTGGTACCTTCTCCGCATCTCTGCCCAGACCTGCCACAAAGGAGATGGTGTAAGGCAGCGTTTCTCAACCTGGGGGCCGGGACCCCTGAGGGGGTCACGAGGGGGTGTCAGAGGGGTCACCAAAGACCACCAGAAAACACATATTTCTGATGGTCTTTGGAATACAGTGCTCTTTGGAGGTAGGTGAACTACATCTCCCCTAAATCACTGTCAATTCCTCCCAAACCCCTGCAGTATTTTCTGTTGGTCATGCGGGCTCTGAATGAGAAGTTTGGCCCAACTCTGTTGTTGGTTGGGTTCAAGGGGCTCTTTGATTGTAGGTGAACTATAAATCCCAGCAACAACAACTCCCAAATGTCAAGGCCTGTTTTTCCCAAACCCCACCAGTGTTTGCAGGTGTGCATATTGAGTGTTTGTGCCGAGTTTGGTTCAGATCCGTCATTGTTTGAGTGGATGTAGGTGAACTACATCTCCAAAACTCAAGGTCAATGCCCACCAAAACCTTCCAGTATTTTCAGTTGGTCAGTTGGGAGTTCTGTGGACCAAGTGTGGTTC